GGTTTCTATCCATCAAATCCATCTTATTCAGAGACTCTTTCCTATTATAATAGTTAATCATATGCGCAAGAAAAACGGCGAACGTAGGAGCTTCAATATGCGTGGGAAATCAAGAAGCTCACATTTGAAGCTTCACATATGAATAGAAAATTATTAATTCGATACACATTAACATTTCTTTCAAGAAGCCCAATACACGGTATGGTAAATACCGATACCCTGATAACCTGGCGATTCGATGGCCGAAGCATTTGAGTAGGTAAGCAAACTATGTGTGCCTAATTTAGCTTACTCTCTTGAGTGGATAAAAAATGCTACACGAAGTTCGGATGAGAAGTTCATTTTTGATCCCTTTGTCTGACGAGACTAATGCTCGGTTTTCACCCATTTCAACTTGGTTCAGTTCGTCAAGGGACAAGTCCTCATTGTCCCAAAATCGCCAAGGATGAAGTGCGATATGCTCCTGTCTAGCGGTCTCCTCCCCTTCAAAAAGCCAGAAAGTGTCGGGTGCAGACCAAACACCACAACTGACGACGGCCTCCAAGTAAATCTGGTTAGTAGTGGTTCATAGTGATAGCTGATTTTGGTAAATGATAGTTGTAATTAGTGACAACTGATAGAATACAACTGCAACAGGCTAATCATTTCATTGGCAGAAAACATTACATTTTGTGGAGGCCGTCGTCACTTGTGGTGTATGGTCTGCACCCGACACTTTCTGGCTTTTTGAAGGGAGGGTATGTGCTGCGCCTTACTCCCGATTTGACCTGCATTTTATGGGGTATAGGCTTTTTTCCTGCAAGGGGAAGGGATTAACGCAAAGAAGAAGAAGGCAGGCTAACTCGGTACTATTCAACTATTATGTTACAACCCCGAAATCTCAAAGCTTTCATTTTTCGTCGAAACCTTGCTCACAAGAGTAATTCGGTGCCCTGACCGAAAATGACATTCATTTTTAGCGGTGGCGCCATCTGGCGCCAGTTGGCGTCACCTTGTCACGACACTTGTTTTCCACCAAATTCGGTGTAAACTTCTGTATAGGGTTATTTGATGTCCTGATTGCGAATATGACATTCGTTTTTGGCATTCGCGCTACTCGCGCATATTTCCCACTTTTCTGGGCTCCCATCTATACATAGTGCCCGGGGCTAATGCTGGACCTAATGGGTAAGCGGGGCTCCATGATAGGTAAATCAGTACCATGTGGCAAAAGCTGAAACGTAAGGGATCACAGGGTGAGTGGCTCGATCTCCCGGAATCCTCCTCTAAAGAGTTAGTCTCGATCGCGATTGACGTAAGCAAACCAG